CATTAAAATATTAAAGACTTTATCAGTAAACCAAAATATTTAATATATAAAGTGTTATTTCCTTGGTAATAATTCATCCTTAAAAGAAAGGTCAATTATGTCTTCTTCAATATCATATATCGGTTTATAAACTGTATACTTAATATTCTCATGATGTTTTCTAAATTATTAATTAAAACTATATTTTTTAATATAATTTTACTGAATATATGTTGTTGATTAATATATTTTGCGTTTTTGTTAAGAATGCTTATGCTAATATTGTATTCTCCATAGAAAATGTATTTTTCAATATATGATATAAACTTGATATCGTAATGATTTGGTTTTATATATTTTGATGGTTGATAGCATAAAGACGATTGATTAGAGTAGAAGCCGTCCCAACGATATACATTATTCCGCTAATTAATAGTAAAAATATCATCGTGTCGAAAAATTTATTTTAGGTCTGTAAAACACTGTAAGCAAAAGACAAATAAAGAAATTAAATATAGTATTGATGTTTTTTTAAATCACTAGACGACACAAGAGCGCGCTTGGCGCACGCTTTTGATATTATTTCTATTATTCATTATACAATTGTCAAGTTGTTAATTTTTGCGATGACAATTGCTTGATGCTATAAAAATGATCATAATTTTAATTAGCCGAATTATTATTTTGAATTCTATTCTTTGTATATAAATGATAGTAGAATACTAATACGTTTGAGAAATACACTTAATAATAAGTAAAAACTAAATTTTAATAATTTTTATTTTTAATATATTTGAAAGGATAATTAATTTTTACGACCATTACTGGCTAATAAATATTTAATAATCACCACCCAACTTTTCGACCATGGGTTTTGGTCCTTCTCAAGTGTACTTAAATTTAAAAACTGTGAACATATATATTCTACAATAAAATATTCGATATCAAACTTTTGTGGGTTCAAGATTATTTCAACTGTGGCGATAAAATTTATTTCATATTTCAATTTTATTTTAAAATATTAAATCGAATTGAGAACGAAAGTCAGCGATCGAATATATGTATTATATGACAACGAGCGAAAGAATCATAATAAACAGGTAAAGACAAAGTATCAAAACAAGCCAATATAACAACGGACAGCTTAATCGATATTGGCATTGATAACATGTCACTCAGCGAACTCGCTGAAGAAAGAACAAATAAAATTATTTTAAATTATTTCTGAATTAAAATTTACAAATAATTTTGAATAAAACTATTCTCTTTATTCCTATACATATGTTGAAAATTTTATAAAATTCCGTCCTACCGTGATTAAATTTTTAGCATTTGTAGACACATGTTTTGTATGTAAGAAAGTTCTTCTGACTTACCAAATATTTCGAAACAGAATGTTAATTGAAAACTATATTGATTAAAACTATATATTGTTTTAAAAATAAACTGCAGCAAATTAATGCTTTCGAAGTATGCAATGTTGAAAGAATATAATATATTCACACACTTTATTAAAAGTACAATATTATATCTATGGCGACGTGTTCGAAAGACCACGAAGGACTGACTGATTTTCCGTACGTGTCTTTATGCTAAATATGATGTGTTAAATCAACAAAACTTCTAAGGTCGTATATATATATATATATATATATATACATATATATTTGAGTGTATGGCGGCATTTGTGTGTAACGGTTGATTTAATTTAGCACATTTAACTTTTGCCCAATTAATCAAATAATTAGGCATTGTTTATACACATTTATATGATTTATTTCAACAAACATTTTGCTAAAAATATTGTGTAATTTCTCGTCATATACTCAACCTTCGATAATTTATCTCAATAATTTTTTGCACAAAATAGTAATAGAATTCAATTATTATAAATATATCATTATTTAAAAAATGTATGTAGTTGCACATTGCTACGAATTGCAATTTTTAAAATCACTGGAATGTTTTTCTTATACCAATCAATTTATCCACATTATTTTGTGCAAAAGTTTATTTAGATAAAACAATATTGGAAGATAAATACATTACAAGATGTTTCATATTTGTGTCAGAAAAAAACATAAAACGTTTAAAAATCAATGATTACTATCAAATCTCAACAATGTTCCATCTGAAATAAGACCATATACTTACGACGCAACGCGCTTTTCCAAATTCTATAAATAATGTATAAAGTATATTTTCGAAAAAGAAACCTTGGTTATGAAATTACAACAATACTTAATTTAAAAGGAACACTTTATATTTTTTGTTAAAAACATACTTTTAATTATTCATGTCTTTATGTACAATACTGTGTCTTTATACTGTACCTACTCCTGTATATATAGTATATATTATAATATCGTAAATATTATAATCGCGCGGATTATTTATTAATCGCGATATGTACTATGTTTTCGTCTGTTTATATCAATTTTATCTAATTTTAAAATTTTAATACATTGTTTATGACATCGTACTCTATGCGCCAAACTATAAAGATTTATAACTGATAAAATTCATATCTTCATATAACATTTCTTTAAAAGTGAATACATAATATATTTTATATAACATTTTGTAAAAAATTAATACAAAATGTTTTTCAAAATTTGTTTTACTTATCTTTCAAATTATATATATACTAAATAAACAAACTGTGAGAATAAGCCAAAATAGAATACAATTTTGAATATAAATCGTGACTTTCCGATCTCAATACTCTTTTATAATAAAAATCAATTTATTTGATACTAATAATATCGATTAAATGTGTTGATGTAAAAAAATTCTTTCAAAACAGATAATTATTTATTTGTATCATATAAATGATTTATATAGCAGTATAAAAATAAAAATATTTTTAATTTAATAATATTTCCAATGCAGTGGTACTCTTTTATACTTGTCATTTTTTTTATTTTGGCAATATGTAAAACATTAAATTCATTTTAATTGTATAAGTAAAAATTAAATTAAATTATCATTAATTTTTATTTAAATTTGAAGTAATTAATAATTGATTCTTCTTTTTTACAGTATTTATGTTAAGTGTCACAATTACTCAAATATCAATTAAAGTATTAAATCAATCATAAATATCTATTAAAAATGCGTACTACAAATTTACACACACAGACATGTGTTTAGTCTGATATTTATTTTCTTTTATGTGTAAATTATAATATTTTTCAATTTTAAAGGCATTTTATTCGATAAATTTTATGTGTCATAAATTATTTGAATATTACGAATCTTGAATTAAGTATACGTTAATATGTGCGTATATTACATAGTATAGCTCCGTTTTCATATTCTAATCGATGAACTACAGAAAGGTTTTAAAATATTTTAATTGTTTTCCGATCTTTTTCAAATTTTTTGTTCTTGTTACAAAATTGTTGTACAAATTTTACTTTGCTAAAAGAGATTCGACATTTATCATTAAAAATAGTAAGAAACGAAATAATGGAAAGTTAAATAAAATAATAAATAATTTTATAATATTAAAATTTATCGCGTTGATTGGACGAAGCACATGTTAGACGCGCACTTATTGCAACCATCAACTTGTGACAAACGTTTTAAAATATTTTTTTTTTCTAGTTTTGCTTAAATTTCTTTTAAATATAATTGTAAGTTACAATTTAGATTGACACATTTTGCAGTATTTTCAAATCTATTTTTTCTCAGCTAGGAATGTTAAATTATGTTCTACAATTTTAAAGTTATGCTATATATTTTATGAATATTAATATTAATATTAATAACTTTTTAAAATTAATATGGGGATTTACATTACGAGAGAGAGAGAGAGAGAGAGAGAGAGAGAGAGAGAATTGTCATGTTATTTATTGTAAACTAAGAAAATGCTAATCCATCACAAATTCTACATAATTAATAATAATAAATGTACAAATTAATTATTTTTGTAATAATATATAGTTTAACTGGTTCAAACAAGATTGCAAAAGAATGAAAATTTTGATGCATGCATTCATATAATTTTATAAATATAAATATAAAAGCATCAGATAGTACATCTAAATAAACAATATTTAAAGCAGTAAAAGAAGTAGTACGTACAAAATAAAAAAATTATATGAAAAAAATTCATATGAGATATGTCCACATATAAAAAGCTGCAATTTATTTTACATCCACCGATTAGAAGAAAAAACTTTCAAAATATATTGTGTCTGCTTCTCGATTTGTTTTTTGCGAAATGAAACCCGGTCCATAATTCGACTGTATATCTGTTGAATTACATTGTCACTCATCTGAAACAAATAGTTTTATTAATAATAAAAAAATTAAATAAATAGTAATATCATTCCGCATTATGAATTCATATTTATAAACAAAGATTTGCATACTGAAATTAACAAACTGTTTATATAACTAATAAAACAAATATAAAAATGATCTTTAGAAAGTAATAAGCTAGAACAATATTTCATTTTCTATCGCTGTTTATAATTATATTTATTAAATTTACCTCTTTTATTTGATGGCTTCTAATTGTGTTATTTACTTCAACTAAGTTAGTTTCTAGAATACTGTAAACGTTCGTCATTATTTTCTAAAATGAATAATTTTAATACCATTATTACTAAACAACGTTATTGTAACATTATCAAAATTATTTTAAACATTAAATAATAATTATTAATATCGCATTATTATCATATTTTGTATACATATTTAAACATGTTAAAATTTTTACCTCAGCTAAATATTCGAAATATACGTTATTAATCATAATAATTAATGTTGCAATTATATTAACATTTCTAAAAACAAAAAAAATCAGATGTATATATATAATACATATAATAAACTTTTGTAAAAATATTTATAAAAATATGTTACTTTACTTGGGTTTTATTTTGTGAAAATTATCTAATATATACGTCAATATAATTGGATTTTTCACATGCTTCGTAATAAAATGTAAGAAACTATTAACGAGAAATTGATCTTTCTGTTTTGTATCAGTGATCTGTTTATCTATTGTTGTTAAATACATTTTGATTAACTCAGTATCTTCAATGCAAGCCAAATATTCTGAAAATTTAATGTCAGTTTTGTTCAATCCTCTAGTATACACTGTTCCAAAAGTTTTCGCATATCTCGTAGTTATCATCAAACCTCTACAATATGTCCATGTCTTCCACCATGGCAAAAGTCTAAAATATAAATAGAATTTAATTTTCTTATTAAAGGTTTTCGTATTAACTCATTTGAACATTATAGGAGATATCTACAAGGAAATTTGATTGAGAAAAACTAAAAATATGTAACATAATTTACCTGTGTTTTATAGGATCTTGGAGATGTTGTTTTAATTTATCGTTGGCTTCTTCCATACAATCAATTTCACCGAGAAAACATGCCCATTTTGCAGCTTCTTGTCGCAAACATATTCTAAGTTCGTCTATATCATGAATTTCTTCATATTCAATTCTTTCAAGTACCTTGTTTAACATGTTTCTTATTCTTTTCTAAAAGTAGTTTAATATATATTTTTTTGTTTGTAAGTTTATAATTATAGTTCATTGACAAAGATTTTCAGCACCCAGCTATGTATCCACTAACAATATCATATATCAATATTATTGATAATAGTGAAAATCATACATTTTGGGGACTGTTCTTCGCGTGAGTGATTATTCAAACTGAATTTCTTTGCACATTTATTTGCGAGGTAATAATATGTAAAATTTTATCGTTGCTGGATATATTCTTCAGATTGTATTTTAATTTTTTGTGACGAATGAGAGTATATGCAAATATCTGAAATGTAACACTTACATTGAAATCTATTAGTAATTACCTTAAATCTATAATTTTTTGGTTCCAGCATTGCTATAGGAATAGTATTAAACATGTGTTCCAGAGCTTTAAACATAGGATACCATGCTATATAATCTTCTTCTTGACCCAAATACGATGTGATACTCCAGAATATAGAGACTTTGAGGTGACCTGCTATCACTAAATGATATGCATCATCGATAATTTGGGCACGATTAAGAACATGAATTTTCATAAAATTATCAGAGTTTAGATAATTTGAAATTCTTTGCCAATTCTCATCATCATAGTTAACGCGATAATATCCTGTCGAATAATAAATAAATTTTAACAATTTTTATTATTCTGAATAATTTTATAATTAATATCTTTATTTTCAAACATTTTCGTTTAATATTTTTATATATATGAATTATAATTTTAAACCGTATCAAAAATTTTATAAAATACAAATACATATTAAAAATTAATTATAAATAAAAATGAAGTTATGCTACATATTTTTGTGTAGCATGAAATAAAATTGATTCTAGTTGTGCTTATGCATATAATAATTACTTTATACAAATGAGAAAAATTTCTGTAATATGAAACTGTACAAAAATTATATTTCACCTGTGTACTTATATTAGTATACTAATTTTATAAATATAGTTAATTTTTTAAATAATTTTTATTATTATTAGAATAAAATATTTGTAAAAATATAACTTTAATATTGATATTACGTAGAAAACGCCCATATATATATCTTATTAATTATATATAATAATACAGAACACAGAACATTACACGAAGCATTTTAAAACTATTGTAGTTATATATAATGGATATATAATGAATATCTCATATTTTTATATAATAATGTATAAAACAGAAAAAATATAAAATAATGTCAATTGTGTGTGTAAAATAAAGACGAGTAACAAGTCATAATTATAAGTCAATTGGTCGATAATTACCAATTTGTTGTATATTGAATATTATCCAACCATCGTCAAGAAGTGAGTTTGTTGAATTTAAATCCCATGATTTGCATAGCCAGAAGTGAGGAAAATTGTTAAAATTGGTATACGTCTGGGTCGTAAAAGTTACAGGAATGCAATCAGTTTGTAATGTGTCGTAATTTTGTACCGATATATGTATATCGATCCAAGGACCACCATAATTTCGTACTACTTTGATGAGAGGACAATGCTCTTCCAAAGTCCAATATTTCATTGTTTGTAATGATATTTCAGTATCTACATTTTTTGCATCAGCAACAACTTTTTCCAAAAAAGTCATAAAACTTTGACGATGAAATTGGCTAAATTCACAAAGTATGTAAATTATGTAAAGAAAACATTATAAATATGTTAAAATTGCATGTATAATTTTAATATTAAAAAAAATTTTAATAAATACTAAGAAGCAAAATATAATTGCACTTTTATTTATATATTTATATGTGGCGATAAATGCCACAAGCATATAAAATATATACAAAATAAAAATTAAAATTACAAGCAACGTGTGTCAAGAATATCGCGACCGGTAACACAAAACAATAAATAAATAAACGAGCGACTAACATGACGAAGGAAAATTTCGATTTCCGAACATAATCAAAAACGAGAGTACCTCAAAATAAAGATAGAGTCTAATCACCTAAAAATAAAAATAAGATCGCGGAATGATGGAGAGAAGCGAGACAATGCGCGGCCTCGAGGCCAGAGACTTGCGTTCGCGTAACACGTTTTGTTTCCCGGCGAAAAGTAAAAGTTTGTATCAGATCTTTTGTGACACGAATAAAATGAAGTAAGATACATTATACTGTGCAACCCCAAATTAATATTCCGGATAAAATATCCTCACCCGATTCGCGATAACGGCGAAACATAATTGACGAACAAGAACGCACCCAAATATATATCTTATATTTATATGATGATAATAACATAATATTGAATAAAATTTAATAATTTTATTTGATTTGTTAGGTATTAATAATACAGATTATATTTGATCAAGGTATTGAAAGAATTATAAAATGATTAATAAAAGAAATAACAAAACAAATAAATTGAAGATAAAGAAAGCACATAAAATTAAAAACATATAATAAAAGAGATCGTTCTACGAAAAAAAATGAAATAAAAATAAAGAAAGCAATGCAAATGAGATACACGTGTTAGATATATTTAAAATAAGATTAAAAAACGAATGTAGCACAAAATTCAATAAAAAAAAACACATAAAAATAATACACGATAGAAAGAAATAAAGGAAATAATGAAAAGAATAAAAATTAATTAAAAAATTATTTTAAAAAATAGTAAATTTTTAAACAAAAATATAAAACAACAATGAATATGTATATATATATGAAAAAATGACAAAACAACAATTTATTTCAACAAAAGCGGTTTTCATAATAGAACCAAAATAATGAAAAGCAATATGAAATAATATCAGAAGAAGCAAAATAATAAAGGACATTATTTAAATTTATATAAATTTGTATGATTATAAATTATTTAAGATTTATATAATTTTATTGTAGGAATAAATTAATAAAAATCTGCGCGTTATATTATATTTAAAATTGTAACATATATTTTCCGCTGTCGATCGTTTATCGTTCTCAGGATTTATGTGCCTTAGGACAAATTCGATATAATAAAAGACGCAAACAAAGCAGTGTGAGTTAGCTCGCTCTGTTTTGAAAAGATAAATAAGTAAAACGAAAATAACTGCGATTGCCGTGACGAACTTGTCGGACAAAGTGATAACCGAAAATTAAAAGAGGCTTCTAGAAACATAAACAAGAATCTAAATACGACCGATTAACCGCCGCAGACAGATTTGCTCGCTCGATTCTTCGACGATACACATCGACTGATTGTATAATAAAGTATTATTTAACTTCTGTACGTGTGTTATATCAAAGCATTGTCTTACTCACGTGCTATTTGTATATGAGCGAACGTTTTTCCAAAATATTTCTTCGGTAAAGACATGTTGCATCATGCGCAGTATAAAGGGTCCTACAATTTACATCAAAATTATATATAAATTAGATATATTTTAAATATATATTTATTATAACGATTATATGTAAACATAGTGATATTAAAAAAAATTTCTTTATTTTTAATTTTTTATTTATTTTTAAAATGAATTTTTCGTTAATTTTTACGAAGATAGCAAAATATTAAAGAACCAAACAATTAATATTATCTACACACATGCGCGATTATTACCGGACCTTTTGTATATATATATATATATATATATGTATATATGTATATACATATATATACACAGGCATATGTATATATATACATATATACATATACGTATATGTATATATCTTAAATTAATTATAGAATGTACATAAATATGCGCGCGTGTGTGTGTGTACTCTAATAACATTATTTTTGTAATAAAATCTAGATAAAGAATTAAATATCTTATAATTTTACACATATTTTTATAATAATAATAGTTCAAAATTTACGCGGATTATTTTATTATATTACGTTATATACCTCTGATGGATTCGCGAATTTTCGATAAACTGTCATCTTGTGAAGTAGAATTCCACATACGATAATCACCATCCAAATAAAAAGAAGTATGTTGATTTTGAACAACAAATAAATTTATTATTCGATTATCTGAATAAATCTGTAAAAAAAAATTATTAACATATCGATATAACCGCTCTAAAAATACTTGCATTAGAAAAAAATACTAATATCATTAGCGGTTCTTTTATGTTAAAAAGAAACACTTTTTTATTTTATAATACACATACAAATAAATATAATAATAAAATCTAAAATATTTAAAAATATCAGATAAAGTGGGGGGGGGGGTGTTAAAAAAGATTTTTTTTCTTACTTTGCATTGTTCACATTATATTTATATGAATGTAAATATTAAAAAAATTATTT